TTAAGATATTCGTGTATTCCCTCTGCTGACTTTGACAGATTTAGTCGCCTACTGCCAAGGTCGGACGCTTCTGTCGCAAACGAATTTCTGGCTCACGGAGATTGCATCCATGATCGCAACCGAAGATGCCGTTAAGCACGCTATTCTCGCTCTCGTTGGAGGATACGTGCTTGACTATGTGCACAAGGATGACCTGCGAAAAAGAACGAATGCGCATTATCGCAAGGCCACAGAATTGATCACTGCAGGCCTGGCGAGGCCCGAAGCACATGCTGTTTCAAAATCAGAGGGCATTGTCGCAGCCATATTGCTGCTTCTTGTTGACGACGTGAGAACCAATTCCTCTGTATCAATTTCTGTATAATTCTCCCTTGCGAATCATGAAAATCCGCTAAGTCAGGTCCTTGTAGTGCGTTAACTGGGAGCTCCGAAAGCCCAAAGGGGAAACTCCAAACTGGTATAAGGGGGCGCATCTGGCCAAAGCCATCCTTGATCATTCTGACCCCGGTTACCGCTACTGGAAAGTTACTAACGTTCAGTGTGACAAAGCCTGGCTGGCCAATGCCAATTGGGCCTCCCTGGCATGTGTTCTTGCGGAACCCGTTACGCCCCTCCAGTTACGAGAGAACGACCGCCGCTTTGGATGGCTGCTGGAGGGCACCGAAAGGGAAGTTCGTACCATTCATGGAGGCACTGGCCTCTCACCAAAGCTGCTGCACATATTTGCCCAGATAACACATATATCAGCAAGAATGATAGCGGTGTGTATTTCCCCTCGCGCAACCCCCCTCCCCTTTCCACCTTGGAGCTGTACAGGAAGTTAACTAACCTGTAAGCGAAGAATCCTCATTCAATTGTTACACCAATTGGCGCGTTGAAAATTGAGGAAATGTTGCATGACTTCCGACAGAGGTCAGAACTTTCAGAGGGATATGCCACGACTGATGCCCTCCTTGAATCCTGCATCCTCGACGTTGACGGAAAGGTGAATACGGCAACCAAAGTCACTGAATTGACCGGGGAAACTTGGGTTTGGGCAGCAAAAATATATTTGCACTGTCGCTTCTTCCGGTGGGCAGATTGACAACGATCTCCTCTCTATTCTCCCCATCATTCCTAGCTCATCATTTTTTCTATCTCCTTAATCATTTTGTCGAACGGGAAGGCTGACAGAACGCAGGAAACCGCGCCGCCACCCAGATGTCTGCGCGGCGTTAAAGACACTGATGACATGTGTGCAGCGGATGCCCTACAACGGAGCACTCTTCACTTCTCAGGCTCCATTCTTCTGCGTCTTTATCATGTCGCTAGTTTCATATCAACAGCATGACCGAGATGTAGCCAGGAATTGGTTTGAGACGGTTCTCTTAGCTGCCAGCTGTCGATCAGTGAGTTCCCACCACTCTATATTTTCGTTCCCTCATGCTATGTAAATGTGTGATTGGTCCGCACCTAGACATTGCATGTTAGACCGCGAACATATCAAAGGAGTAATTTCTGACTACGGTTTCCAGAGCGTGCCACCAGTCTGGGAAGCTGTCCAGGTATTGTGGGAATGGATGGATGCCGAACTTGTGGATGAGGATAATTTCGATAATGCTGTTCCTATTGGAGAGCGGAGGGCATGGTGGGAAGATATGGTGGCGTATCTTCTCGACAAGGTGGGATGGGTGAGTTTAACGTAGCGATAACTCCATATTAGTTATTGTAAGACCGCCAATTTTGTAATGCGATATATTGAGAGAAGAAACACAATTCTGGATAGTAGGTTCAAAATTTAAGGCAAAATATTCTCGGGACACTAGGCTTCCAGCAGCCGTCCATAGGAATGAATAGTTGATTCTTGAATTATGAGCCTCAATTCTCATCGCAGGGGAAGCTGCCTTCTTTTTTCTTTTTTCTCTTTTGTTCCCTTTCTATAAATCGGGTACCCAAAATCTCAGGCAACCATTCCGTCTCGCCCAACACA